AGGGACTGTCTCAGCTGTTATTTTCGTTAAGGAGTGTGCATGTACAGCATGCGCACCTCTTGCATGAGCCTACTATTGAAGCTGTCGTTACGCTTTGGGCCTGAGGGGGCAATCGCGAGCATACAAATTCAAAACTCCGTAAAGTCCCTTTAAATATTATTTGAAATAAATGGGGATAGAGCTGAAACTGGAATGGATTTTTGAATAATGAAATAATAGTTTTTGTTGTTTACTTTCATGCGTCACTTCTGGGTTATACAGTCTCCTCCTGGTGTGACTTCCTGGTTCCCCAACGTAAACAGGAAGCACACTCGTTCTGCCACTCAAACAGATCGGTGTGAGCAAACGAGGCTGGGGAAATAAGGACGACAACGCCCAGGAAGAAATGCCACAATGTTTCCAAAGGGTTGGAATATTTCAAACTCAAGCCAACAGATAAGAATGCTAGCTTAATGCTAAGTAAGCTAAGTGGACGTTAGCAGATGATGGAGTCGCCCCCTGCTGCAAGCGTTCTCCTCGTCGACTGTGTCATTGGGAGGAGAAAGCGGGCAGCGGAGGGTGACACTCGTCGTGTGCTGCCTGTAGACAAACGGAGAAGGAAGTGACACCGCCAACAACAGCGAGCTCTGAAGAAGACTGCAAGAGTAGTCGAAACATCAACAAAAAAGATGGTAAAACAATCCGTTTCAGTGTTAAAAGAACCAATGCAATTATCATAAAGTGTTACTGTAGTTTGTGCTATAGCCTTCCTAAACTTGCTTTTATCAAACACAGACCTTTTACACAATAGAAAAAAGTATAATGTCTCCTTTAATTTAAGCTTAAGCAAAAATGCAAAACCCTTCTAATAATAAATGTTACAAAACAATACAAACAAAATAACCCCACAATTCCACTACCTTCGCTCCGCTCCGCCCCCGCCTTCCGCAGCCGCTCGCTTCCGAACTCAATTTTTACTGGTACCCGCTCTACAACGGCTCCGCTCCGGTGCGGAGACCTGAGGTGCGCAAACAAGCATGCACGGGATTTTCGAGATCTTGCGATACAGTCCGAGCAATAAACGCGGAAGTTAGATCCAAACACCCGTTGTGTGGGAGAAGCATCGAAATGAACTGTTTAATCTGCCCATCATGTGTGCTGAGAGATCAGCAGTGTTTGGATCAACAAAGTGTGACTACTTTGATAGTAGAAACTGTATTTATGGCTTATTTTTGTGCATTTAAAGTTCAGCCGCCATTGATAGTTGTTAAAAGTTGTTAAACCTGTGCATATGAAACAAGAAACGCTTTTTGTTTATCGATTTATTGTGAAATATCGGAAGTTGTGCTTGCTCCCTTTCCTGTTGGGCGGTTGTGATTCCTGTCCATTGACTGCGGAGGTGCTCCGGCGTCCAGCAAAAATAGAATCGATCCTATTTTGGCCGGATGGCGGAACGGCGGGTGGCGCACGGCGCCGCACGGCCGCAGTAGTGGAATTGCTCTGACTGACTACAACGGGACCGTTTTTGCTGCGGAGTTCGTGCCGGAGCGGTGGCAGTGGAATTTTGGGGTAAGTGTTGACTTCATTTAGTACTAATACTTTTTGCCAGAACAATAGATGGCAATAGGTAGTTAAAGAGAGATAAAATAAATAAACATGAGTCTACAGAAGTTTGCTGTCTGTTTTCTTTTCTATAATCTTTAGAAAAACAGAGAAAGTTGGGTTTATTTTTTGAAATTATAAAAAAAAAGAACAGGAAAGGGAGAGTAGGGAGAGCAGAATGGAAAAAGGAATGAAGTGAGTTTCCTCTGGAACCCTAGGGAGGTTTGTAATGAGTTGGAGGGAGCCATGTTTGCTTTACTGGGTTTACACAGAGAAATGACCCACTCTTTTTTTCTTCTTTTTAAAATCAAACTCTGGACTTAGAGGAATCCCAGATCACTGTGATGCTGACGGAGGAAAAGCCACCATGTGCTGGATGTTGTCTATACATGACTCTAACAAAGAAACACAACGGTCCACATCAGTGTTTGTTAGAGTCCCCAATAAATATTTAAAAGGAAACTTTAGGTCTAATCTGCTCCACTGAGCATGCAGCTTTAACTCAATGAAAACATCCCAAACTGTAATTTGTCAATTGTTTGCAGCTGACACGTGAGAAACATGCACCAACTGTCTCTGCTACATTTATTTAATTGTCATAATGCAAAAGCATTGTCCTAGGGTATAAAGTTGCATCGCTCATCACTGAGTTAATTCATTGCAGCAGAAGGGTGTTAACCCTCATGCATCATTAAGGATGTTTTTGTCCGTTTGGGCAGTGTCTCCCTATTTGCCTGGACACTCTTTCATGAGCATTTGTGCATTTTTTTTACAAAAATTCTCTAGACAAATTTTGAATTTGAGATTGTAATTTTGAAAACAGACCAATAGAACACTATAAAAAACACACCATATTCTTGAATTAATGGAGGATAAAATGTCTGTAAATGCGGCTGTAAAAAGACCATGCAAAAAAAAAAAAGATTGCATTTTTTATTACTTATGATCTATATGAGAATTAGCATGAAGTATGACATGAGGTATTATAGGTCTATAAGGTGGTATAAATTAAATCAAACAAGCAAATTCTAATAAAAACTGTCTAAATGTATGTGCCTGCTGGTAGATTTAATTTCATTGCTTCTATTATTAGCCCTGAGGTAAAATGCATAAACATTTTTAAACAATAAAGAGTAACGTGATGCCTTATATGCCAATTTTTAGATGAAATAGTTCAGATCAATTTAAATACAAAAAGGAGTATTTCCCAAGTTACACAAACCAAATGGTGTGCAGAAATATTTGAGTACACATGAATAAGACGGTCAAATAGAATGTCCCTTTATTATGAAAATGGCCAATTTCCAATGAGGAACATCTTGTCATTAAAACAATTAAGTTTGACGTTTAATAATGTGTCAAGCAGACTAAGAACAGTCCATTTATTCAACCCGAAAATTAATTCCTGAAAACATAATTTACATAATAATTGTGCACAAGTTTACACGAGGAAGATGTTTGTCATCTAGGAGATTTACTATGCATACATAATTAGGAGAAATTGATACAGTGGGTAATTTCAGAGAAAGAAATGTAAATACATGTTCTGTTGTATTTTATTCTTGCATGTGAAGAAACACTGATGAATCTGCTCATTAGCATGAATCTCGTAGCAGATACCGTGTCATCAATAAAATATGGCTGTGATGGTGACCACGTCCACGGGGATGGAGCCTCAGAAAAGAGCCGTGCCACTCGCACATGCCTCAAAAGACCCTGTGAAACTGCAAGCAGTTAAACCAAATTGAAAGAAAATGTGTCGAGACTCAAGTCATTTTCATGTGCACCACATGTGAGAATCTATGTCCTAATTCTCCTTCTTGCAAACATTCAGATAAGCCCACTATAGAGGACACTGTGTGTGTTTGTGCATGGAGTGTTTGCACCTTATTAATTCTGGCTCCTGTTGGCTACTTGTGTCCCCAGTGGCTGTAGTCAATTATTAAAAACACGAAACAACTATTCTCGATACACACAGTGAGACAACACAGCATTAAATAATACATAATATCTACTCTTCATAAATCTTACATCTCTCCATGTTGACAACTGTTCCCAGCATGCACACTTATTCGTGCACATATTGCAATATTTATTTATTTTATAGGCAAAGTAATTAGTGAGATTTTATTCGTATTTTTTACATCATAACCCTACACATTGCACCTTCAATATCTTTTTCAAAAAGGAACTTCACTGAGAAACCATGTTGTACTTATTATTTTTGAAAATAATAATTGTCTACACGTATTTTCTGCATTAGCTCCTTATTTAAAAAGCCTGACACATTTACGTCACACTGTCACTTAACATTCATGGATTCGCCCAACTTGACCCGTGACGGGGAAGGCTGTTGTTGGTTTAGTGTCCAGGAAACAGCAGAGAATGTCTCGGCTAGTAGAAGCTAACGCTAGTGTTAGCAACTCCACCACACAGCAGAACTCCTTCAGGATGGTGTTATTTGTGGGGATAAAACATCCGTGTTGCTGTTAGCCAATCAGAGGCAAAATGTCCAAATACCAGGAAATAATCAAAGTCGTCTGAAGCTACTTTCTCTGCTGGCTGAGTTCCCCGTGCTGAAATAGACGAACCTGAGCTTTTTTCTCCAGAAGGCATTCATTTAGACCACTGCAAATGTTAAAAATGTTCCTCTTTAAGTATCAGAACAGTATCAACATTACCTATAATAATATAGAAAAGCAGTTGATGTGAGGTAAGATGAATGTGTCTCACATTTAGCCGATGATTTAATACTTCTCTCAGAAACTCACCAGAGAATTGTCGGTCTCTGATTTGCCCAAGAACATAAACTAGAGCATTTGTATAAAATATCAAAATGAAGAAATCACCTGTTACTAAGACATTTTTACACCAATTCCTTTTATTTTGTGACCCATTACCTTACTCTTTTGAGTATGATAAAATGCTGCATGCTTTGATAGAAATGTTTAATATAAATAGCGGTATATAAATAAGATATTTTAGAAGAATAGACCTTTTTCATATCGAGTGGTAGGGTTGTTTGCTCGTTGGGTTGGGTGAACATGTATGTATTCACATATCTTGTCTTTAGAGACAAATGAGTTACTGTGGATATTTACCTGTCACCTCTAAGTTAACTGGCTTTTTACACTTCCTCGCCAAATTCAAGCAGGACAATGAATTATTCATAGAGATGCTGGGATTCCTCTGCAGCCTTAATAAACTCTGTCCAGGAACAAAGGAATCCACTTCATCTTTATTACCAAAGACTTAAAATAACCTGTTGGTAGCTGTGTGAGAAATATAACCTACCCAAACACAGTTACACATGCATTCAATATCCAACACTGGTCCTGCTGTGCAATGCAGCAAGTCTGTACCAAACTAAATAAATCAGCCATCAGTGCAGCCACTTAAATCACAAACTTTTTTCTTACCTTGGCTACCTGGACGCACCAGTTGAGCAACAGCTGTGATCCGATGTTGTCCTTGTGCTCGTGGACGTAGTCAAGCAAGCAGCCGTGTGGCATCAGTTGTGTCACCAGCTGGATCGTAGGACTAAGGCAGACGCCCAACAGTCGGACCAGATGAGGGTGCTCCATGCTAGCCATTATCAAAGCCTCCTGTACACAGGTCAGATTTATGCTCAGGCATTAGGGGCAGAAGGAATGAGTAACTAATTGTTATTTTAATAATGTACTATAATCATCAATAACAGCAATCCATACAACGTAAAAACAAAGTTAAAGCAATGCAGTGAGCAGGAATGAAAATTCTGTCATCGGAAGTTTTCACTATTTTAGTTTCTTCCGGGTCCGAACCAAAAATAAAAACAGGTCCACTTTCGAATATCTTTAGTGATAACATCAGTTTATTTATAACAATAAGATATGAAAAACATCCTTGTTGTATTTGCCATAAACAATACTTATAAATTTCCCCAAAAATGCAGCAGAATATAAAGTTTGCCTGAACTGAGGAACATTAAACTACCTAGCTCCTATATTTAGAAGGTTTAGGGAATAAAAACAAGCAAACAAAAAAAAAAACATTTTCCCCAATTTAGCATTTTTATATTTTACATAAACTTCACCAGAGTTAATTTAAAAGTGGACTTCTCCCCATCTTTCCCTTCAAGCCTTCTTGTGGGGTGTTCACTGAGGCTCAGATGACTACACTTTCTTCAAACGACCACAACAAAAAGAGCAAACTCTCCAGTTTGTTTTAATCAAACTAATCCAGTTGAGTGAGAACAAGCTACATGTTTATGCAGACTTGAAACTCCACTTTGAAGCTGGAAACTCAGAAGACTGCAGTCAGAATGTACAGGAAGTTCTATGCCACACCAGAGTGATCACAAAACATCTGATTATAAACGTAACTGTAATTACATTAAACATTTAACTATACATCTATAAAATCTAAGTGTGATAGCCTGATATTTGGTCTATAATGTACAATGCCTTGAAAATTATCCATACCATTGAACTTTTATACATTTTGGCACCTCACTACCACAAACTGAAATATATTTTATTAAGATTTTCTTTGATGGACCAACACAAAGTAGAACACAATTGTGAAATGAAACCGATACACAGTTTTCAACATTTTAAGCAAATGGAAAACCTGAAAAGTGTGGCGTACATTTTTATTCAGCCCCCTGAACTCTGGTACCCCTAAACAACATCCATTGCAATCAATTGTCTTCAGAAGTCACCTTATTAGATAACAAGGTACACCTCTGCTGTGAAGGCATCAGTTAGCCTTAAAATCTAGACCGTCAGTTGCTGAAGCAAAATGATTTTGCTCTGCATGGAGCGACCCAGAAGTTATTTATTGTAAGCAGCCACATTAGCCTTTTGTTTTACTCTAATATCAGGCTAGAGGCTAACATTTAGCTAACAATGCTGATGGTGAATTAGATGCAAATATTCGACTCTAAAAATATCTCAAGCTACTTTTTGAACAACTCGATACTACAGTGAAATGTGTGTTTGAAGTGAATGAGTTAATTGTGGCATTTTACTTCCTTTAATCAGTTGTTCAGAACTATAAGCGCAAGATAACAGCAAGACGGCAAACAATCACCCTCCCTTCAATGTCTGTGAAACATTACTGTAATAAGTGTAATAAGTGCTCCTACTGTACAACACCCAAGAGTGCTAACACTAGATATAAGAACATCTCTAGCAAATAATTAAATTACAGTATATGCCACTACTTTGCTTGTCATTTAGAATCTTCTGGCGCTGATCTGTGACTGGCAGTAGCCATGAAACTTTCCAAACGGCAGTGAATACATAATTTTTTTGCTGAATTTTGGAAAATATGCAGCAGTACCCACATTTGACCACAGGATGTTATTCTTACATACTGCACCTTTAAGGTTGAACAAAATATTACAGAGAAACATTATAGACTTGTGTATACTGCTAGTATCTAAGGTTTTGCTAAGTGAAACTGTCTCATTTCAATATGTTAACTCTGACAATATCCTTATCATTTAGGATATCTGCTTGAAATCTACTCAGCAGATTGCAATTTACTGATTAAAGCCATTTTTGTAAAGAGATCATTGCTGCTAACTCATATTTTTTTCAGTAATTCTGTATATTTTTCTGTGTATTATGTATTTTACTCTTCAAAATCATTCATTATTTTCTACCTTCAGGACAATTTAAATGTCACAGTAAATTAACAAACTGGCCACAAATCACTTTGAATCGACTGATCCAGCTGTTTGAGGCGAGAAAGAAGTGTTTTTCTCTCCTTTGTTTAACTTGATAAGTTTGTCAGTAATTTAAGCCAATAATTTATTTTCTAACCAGTGTATTTTCCTTTCCACATGTGTACTCGGAACCAAAAAGGATGTACAGAGTGTCCCTGATGTGTCCTCTTGATCCCAGGTCGACTTCCCATTAATGTCCGAGGACAAACGTTCAAACACTCTTTACGCTGCCACAGAGTCCATCAAGTCTAAAAGTGTAGAAGAGCCAGAGATCACAGAACCTTTTATTCTGTTTAAGGCTGAAGTTCCTCTTGAAGTAAGCAGCAAGGTTCAATTCCAGTCAGAAACAGCTGATTTCTATTCAGAGTAAAAGATCAAAGTGACTCACTACTTCAAAACGCTCCTCGTAGTAAGATAAGAATGTTGTAAACACAGCATCACAGACTGCTGTAAAATATTTATCTCTGCAGCAAGAATTGTTTCTTTGCGGTTCTGTAAGTCAGATGGTGTAATTCTTTTATACATGTTAGCAATAAACATGTTGTTGTGCATTTAATAAATGTGCTTGTCTGGTCCACACTATTGCATGTGATTGGAACATCATACACTCCAAAACGTGCATATTATTCACATGACATAGTACTAAAGGCCGGTATAGGCCTAGAAATGCATAAAACATAGTGGCTACAAGTGTTGTGACTTAATGTGACAATTTATCATGAGATGGATAGCTGTGCATTAAAATACACAGGACAGCTGGGGGTGATTGTATGCATTGGGGGTTGCAAGAATGGCGTTTCTAAAGCTGCAGACTCAATACAGCCTGGAATTTACAAGGCTTGTTAGAATGATTTCAACATCATTTCTCTACCAATAGGGACTCTAAGGCTCCTCCTCTTGCAACTGGCTTCTGTCAACCTTTCCACAGACTCCCAATAACTATTTTCCTTTGGCAGTATAGGAGATCCATGGACCAGAAGTAGATGGGTGTGACCATCCTCAAGACACAGAGATGTAGTACCGACGACAATAAATCAGGTTCACGGTTGACTTTTTCTGCTCTTGGATTGTGAGTTGGACACCAAAAAGGGACCAACTGCGCTAATGTGCTCCTACTCCATGAACATTATTCACTGTAAATGAACTTTGGGTCTAACTTTTTATTTTGTTTAGAAATTTTATGGTCATGTTTCACAAAATAGTACAATCGCAGGTTGATATAACAGTGTTTATTTTAATAAACATTTAATATGTAGTCATTCTGTTTTAATTTAAGCATTTTAATGCATATGCCTGTGTCCTTTATGCTGTTTCTTCTTGAAAACTCAATTTTCTAATTTTATTCACGGTTAATTGCTTAAGGATACAATAATAATTTGCTGCCTTTGTGTATTTCTCTGTATTAGTTATTTCCTATTATCCAAGTGTATGTGCTGCCTTAAAGTGACAATCTGTATTTTCCCTGACAACAGAGGGCAGTGCATACGTAAATCATTGCAAGCAAGTGGTATTTTTGTGTTTGAGTAAGAGATAACCAACGGATGGCCATTAGTGTCAAAAATCCTTGGGAGTGCAACTTCCAGCAAAATGACAAGCACACCAGATTTCATCACTGGCAATGAGTGACGAGGTAAATGTGTAAAACAACAATGTTTATGAATGGTGAACATTCTGTAACCATTTGACACAAATCAGTGAATGCATTTAGTCCACACAGGCTCCCATAGGAGGAAACATGGCATTTAAAATGGCATCACCCGAAGACTTAGACCCGCTCCCATGTATTTTAGACCAAATTTTCATGATTATAAGTTACAAAGACTCCAATATTTTTCAACAACTGGATATCATTTAATTTATTTTCAACAACATTTTGATGGATAGTTCCAGAGATTAACAGCAAAAACTACACATTGTCTCTAAAAACGAGTACATTTACCCACTGTGAAATCAATTAAGTTGATTTGACTCTATTCTATTCTATTCTATTCTATTCTATTCTATTCTATTCTATGCACACCCATGTGCAATGCTCCAACAGATGCTTGGAAGCTTCAGATATCTACATACATCGTACTGCAGGTCTACTGAAGTCCCCCTCTGATTTCGAGGGTCACGTGACCACAGGTACCACCATCGAGGCCTTAATTTTCCATAATTGTTCTCCGTACACTTTCATAAACTAAAATTCAAACAAATTCCTGTTAAACATTTTAACTTTACATTACTTGTGCCTATTTGATGCATAACTGTTTTATATCTGCTCCAATGACACTTTCCAACTCTTCCACACCAAACAAGAGATTCTTGGTAACTGTGCTGAGAACAGGAAAGACAAGCTTCCCTTTCAGACGGCCCTTATGCACCTATGGGTTCACCTGATATTCATAAAGGGTATATGTGGACACATGAAGGTTGTACCTTAACATATAACCTCCATGTGTGTCAGATGCACCCATCTGATTTTCCGATCATCAAACGGGGGCCCCAAAGCACGTGGAATGTAATATTAAAGACACAAGGGAAATTCATCAAAGACGTCACGATAAAAATAGAAATTCGAACAACCCAACAGTCTTCCTCTTAGACTGTCAAACTACGTGCAAAACATGAGTGCAAGTGGGTCACATTCAATGCATGTGTGTTGATGAGAGTTATTTCATCTGCATTGCATCATTACAGTGTAATAATTTAAGTTTTTTTTTGCACACTTCTTTTTTGAGACGAGCCACGCTGTGAATGTTTTATAAATCGGGCCTCGTTCACTGTGAAGCAAATTGCATTGTGCGTGTGTGTGTGTGTGTGTGTGTGTGTGTGTGTGTATGCGCAGGTGAGGCATAGTGCTCCCACTAGTCAGTAGAGGTGCATTTATTCTCAATAATCCAGCTGCACCCTGTTGCTCATCCAGTTAACACAAATGTCTTAAATATCTATAATATATTCAATAAAAGCCCAGTTATGCAGGTTTTAACAACAGTTTGAATGAAATTAAATAATAAACAAAAGCAGTAAATTATGTCATGAGATCAATCGTCCACCCTGTACTCACATCCATGAACTCCACATTAGCCTTGGGTCCAGTGGCTTCACTGAGGATCTTGATGGCCACAGGAATTTTCACAGTTTCACCCTCTGGGACCCAAATTCCCTAAAAAACATACAGAACTGTAAAACACATCCAACTCACAAAGCTTCTAATCAGATGAATGTTATTTCAGTTGCTCATGTAAAATCTTAGAGGGAGAAACATCTCTACTTTTTTTTCTTTGAACCACTTTAATTATTTTATATTATCACCAACAATATTCAACACTTTCTATTCAAAAAGTACATTTTGCCCTTGAAGGATGGCTTAACGATGTGATCGTTTTAACCGCTCAAACATTTCAGGTAAAATTTGTGATTTTACGTCCAACGCTCATACAATAAGGAACTCTCAGCTTTGTCAAAACACTAAAAATGTGTTTCGCCTTTGTTATTCCCCACGTCGGGAAAATGAATCAGGTTAGAATTAAATCAAAATACAATTAGAGCTCATTTCAATTCAGATTATTTCCCCTGACTTCGCCAGATCCAGCACTGAAGCTGCGATAACCTCAAATATCTCCTATTTCATTTTTATATCTCTAATGCATTCTTTTATTTTATAATTCAAGCCTTTGATGATAAATGTTAACAATGATAAACCTGATAACAACCTATTTCTCTCAAAACTTTGGACTGTCTGACACCACATGAGTTTCGAGGCTTCAGATGTGCCTCATCATGCTACATATATGCCCTTTCAGTCAGACACAATCCTCTGAAATTATCAGGTGTTAAAATATTTATCTGTTTCTGAGAAGATGTAAAAACCAAAGGAGACAACATATTTGTAGCCAGATCCCTGAAGGTGTGGAATGAACAGCCTGAGGAAATCAGGTCAGCAGGGTCAGTGACCTCTTACAAAGCTGAGCTCACCCTCAGACTGGTTTTACTTTCTACAGACTCAGTCCTCTGACAAGGATGCCAACACAACACACAGTGGCCCCAATCCTAGAGTCATGTCGGCCAATTAAATAAGAAAAAAACAGAGCCATCACTGGCTCTAACAGGCAACAACACAAGCTGTCAAAATACAGGCACACACATGCATGCACCCACCCACACACACACACACACACACACACACACACACACACACACACACACACACACACACACACACACACACACACACACACACACACACACACACGCACAATGAAAATAATTCTGATTCACAGGTTTTTCTTGTTTTTCTCGACTTTTATTCATTCATTTATTCATGTCATCATTTGAATTCAAAGTATTACTTTACTAAAAGGTTTGAGTTTATGACATTTGATGTTAATTTTTTTTTCACATAAAACTTGTGACAAGAGTATAAATTAGAATAAGTGAACACCATTAAATGGTAAATGGCTTGTTTTTGCATATCACTATCTTAGGGTTCTACAACACAATCAGTAATTCACCCATTCACACACACGTTCACAACATTGGAGCCACCGGTCCCTTCGACCACCACCCGCAGAGAAGGCGCGTTCAGTGTCTTGCCCAAGGACACAACAGCATCATTCTCCAGTCAAAGCCAGGATTGAACCTGCAACCTTCCGTTTACTGGACAACCTGCTCTACGTCCTGAGCTACTGCTGCCCTCTTTACTATTGCTGTTTAACATTTATTAACATGGGAGTGTATTTAGACCAGTAACAGCAGTGGTTTTACCTTGTAAACTGTTCCAAAAGCGCCGGAGCCAAGGATCTTAATGCGTTTAAGCTCTGTTTCTTTGAGAATGCGAAGCTGGGCTTGATTCGGAGCAGTTCCACTGGGTGTCAAAGGTTCCACCAGCTGAAAAGACACACCAAAAACTGACAAAATACTCAGAAATGTCTGTAAATGTAAACCCCAAATTAATATCTATAAATTAATCCCACCTGATTATTACTACACCATGGTTCAGTGGTGCCCAAAGTGGTTAAAATGGAGAAAAAGTTAAAGTCCTCCCAAACCACACAAAATTGATGTTGCTTATTATAAAAATGTTAAAACTATTTTATGCAGAATTGTCTCATTTTTACTGCAGAAAAAAAAAAGACTTAAATGGCATCAACAGCCTGTCGGAGACAACATTGAGGGCCACACAAAATCAACCAGAGGGCCTGAGATGGCCCCCGGGACACACTTAAGACATGCCTCATGGGTAAAAAATGTGTTTACGATGAAAACCAATCCTGCAAAAACCATGTATAGAAACAAAGTGTGTTTTATTCGTCCACAAAATCATAGAAAATTGTATCTGAAAAGAAAAAACATGTCCAGCCTAAAACAATTATCCTAATTATAATGTGGTGTCACACTGAAATGCAACATTACAAAATTATTATGGTCCAAATTAGTTGGAAAAATCACTACATTAAAAATACAAAAGATGGAGTAGCTTTAGAAGAAATAACATCAGTGGAAAGGTGAAACTTTAAATATTCCAAGGTGGAGGTGATCACAGAATGAAGAGGTGTGTAACTGTGGCTCTTGAAAAGATGTTTGTTTCCCTAATGATGCTCAGGTGGAGGAGTGAACAGATGAAACGGTGAAAAAGAAGGAGAAATTATATCTGGGCAAGAGGGAAGGATGTAATGTAGAAGAACTATGGCAGAGAAAACAATAAGACTGAGAAATGAGAAGCAGGCCTCTGAATTAGTCAGCGGGTGCATGGGCATATGCGAGGGAGCAATATACAAAGAATTACAGAAACATGTTGGAAGATTAGGGAGGGGGGCGGGGAGCAGAAGGAAACTAAATCAGCCTGGCTATGGTCGACAGCCAGTGTCCCTCTGGCTTACGGTTACCATTTGATTACAAACAATAGTCATTCTTCATTTAAATAGAATAACAAATCAGCCTCGGTTGAGCGGAAACTAGAAGGTCGTGATGTCACAAACACACAACACAACATAGATGTCCTTAAAAGGACACACACACACACACACACACACACACACACACACAAACCGGTATTTCACTGTGTGGGAGCTGTCCAGCTACAGCGGTGCTGAAATGCAGACTCTCTGCAGCTGCAACCTTACAGAAGACACATTAGAACAGAAACCATCTAGCAATAAAAAACCTTGTGTAGCAGCTCTGATAAGAATGGCAAATATCTCTATACATGACAAAATTAAAAACTCGTTTGATATAAATAGATTGACACTGAATCTTAATAAAACAAATGTTTTACTGTTTAATGATGAAAAGAACAGTGATGTGTCATTGGAAATAGATGGGATTGAAATTCAAAGAGTAAAAGAAACTAAATTTCTTGGAGTTCTTATTGATGAAGACTTGTCATGGAAATCCCATATTAGTTACATAAAAGGTACATTTGCCGAATCCTTAGGAGTATTACATAGAGTCAAGTTTTTACTGACTAATTCTGGTTTGTTGGCATTGTACAATTCACTGATTGTACCATACTTGACTTATTGTGTAGAAATCTGGGGTGCAACATACAAAAACTATACACAACCCTTATTTATTTTACAGAAAAGAGCTCTGAGAATCATCAATTATAGTGGCTGTAGAGATCCATCGAACCCATTGTTTATTAAATATAAATTACAGAAATTTCATGATTTAAAAGACTGGAAAATCTTACAAACCATGTATAAAGCCAATTTAGGTACTCTGCCAACAAACATTCAGGGGTTATTTGAAAAGAGAACTAGTAATTACATGCTGAAAGAAACTGATGTGTTTACAAAACCCAGATTTAGAACTAAAATTAAGGAACGGAATATATCTGTAAATGGTGTTAAATTATGGAATAACCTTAAAAGGGAAATTACAAAAACTGTCATTTAATATATTCAAAAAATGTACTACACTGAGTGTACTAAATAATTATGAAAATGTAAACTAAATCAATTATCATGATCGCACTGGAATTTAAAACAGGAAAAAGTTTTAAATGAATCTGTGTCTGACAAATGGAAATTGTATATAAATTGATTATTTCTTCTGGAAAAGGGGGCCGAAATTATATGATGTTTTTCTTCATTCTGCTCCCTTTTATTCATATTTGATTTTTTGTTATGAATTTCTTATTGTTTATATGTTTGATTTGTTTTTATTTTGAATGAAATGAAAAAGAGAAAAAATAAGAACATTTTATACATTTTTTTACAAAGAAATATTACAAAATTAGATTGTGAATTAATTACAAAACACAGTAAACAACAAGAACATTGACCAAATCTTTAGTATTATTATTATTATATTTTCATGTTTAAATTATTTAACAATTCTAATTTGTTAGGGCTAGTTTATTTTATCATCAAGATGAATCCATTTTATTCCTAATAAGTTGAGTTCATCAATGTTCAGCTAATACTTTAGAAGTATTGCCTTTTTAAAGGGAATATATGCAGTATTGGCTTGTGTTTAGCACCCCCTAGTGCCCGTTATTAATCAATTGTTGTAAAACCGTATGTGAGACTCATCTATTTGCTGTGCTGTCATCTTTTTAAGACCTTAATCTAACTGCTGAAATGTCTCCCCAGCCTTCATTAGTGTCTACAGGAGTGATTCATCACTAAATCAAACAAATAAGCTGTATTCATGATCTAAAACATGCAGGAAACATGATGGAAGCAGACTGCAGTGCTAGCATGTCAGCTCCACTTTACTAACCAGGGACTGGCCTGCTACTCTGAAATTATTTTAGCACATACTGGCTCAAATAAATGATAAAAAAAACATGAAAAAAGTTGCATTGTATCCCTTTAAAGCAAAACAGATACTTGTGGGAAAAATGCTCTGGCACCCCCATTTGAGGAAGTAGAAGTTGAAAGTTAGTTAGGATTGAGGGGGAAAATAGCAGTATTTAGACTCTTACTCATTAATATTTATGATATGCAAATGACTCACCTTTGATTCACTAACAGCAAAGCAACTACAGCTTTCTTTCCATCTCCTTTCTTGGGTAAACATTTATGTTTTTTTCCCACAAATAAAACAAGGCTGAACATTTTTTGCCATGTTGTGGAGTTGCTAATGCTAACAGTTAGCTTCTACTAGCTGAGATAGCTCACTTCTGGATGCTAAATCAACAAAAGCAAGCAAAAGTGGGTGGGGCCATGCATCTAATTTAACAGTGTGATTTTTAGAACCTTAGTGTTTCCCTGTGTATTTTCTGTCAGTGACTAATGCAGGAAATAGGGGTAGAAGACTATGTTCATGTTTAGCCTGCATGTAAAATGCTGAGTAACTGATAGTATTAAAAAATAAATAAATAATATTAAAGATTTCTCAATGAACCTTGTAAACTTTCAGGGTCTGAATCATATACATTTTATTCTCTTTCCAACTTATTTCACTCCTTCAATCAGTTACTTTGCACCTTTGGCAGTTGAGCAATCAAAAACAAAGACCAAATGTCCCTATTTGAAAAGACACAGTTAAGTAAAACCATTATTTTAGCAAGAAAACAAATGGCCATTGCATTTGTTGTATTTCATATAAAAGCCATTATACCTTTTGCAAGTTTTCCAACTTTCTATAAATCACCAAATTATAGCCGTTCATTAAACATTCCTAAAATCACATGTTCCTCATGTTTTGTGTGGATTAAAATGCTTCAAAAATAAAAAAAATCAAAGTCATAAAAGTTCCATATCCTAAGTGGCAGTAATCATGCATCTAATGAAAGAAAAGAACAGAATCAGAGGGGAAGTATAATAACACGTCATGTCAGAGCTCCACTTAACTGATACTTCTCTGCTCTGAGGAGAGAAAAAAGCAGCAAAACTGCACAGATGCACGAGTGCATTTGATGATGACGCACTTCTCTTGTTTTAACACGGAGAAAGAGTGCTTTCTCCCATTTTAATGGTGGGGTCTCAACTCCTCCTAAAAGAAGTGCCCTCTCCAACATACGCCCGTGGCTAAGTCAACAGCTGAGTCTTGGAGTTTCTGAAACTTCCATGATCACCATTAGTGTATGTGAGCTAACTCTCCATCTCTTTTCTATCCTTTGAAAAACTTTTTTCTCCTCATCCATACAGATCTGCACCAGTACAACATGCATGGACTTATCCTGTATTTATTGGTTGTTGCTGCATTCATCAAATGAAAATCTATGGTTGTTTTTTATTATTTTGCGTGATTCAATTTTACTTTAGCTCAGCTGGTTGTTGACCTAATTTTCTCCCACATTCCATTCATTCGGCTTACCTCTGTCTCCAAAAATCGACGAAGGGCTCTCTTCTTTTTAATGTTCTTCCGGCGCACGGATACCGCCACACTCAACGCCATGATCACCACCATGAAGAGGCCACCGATCACTCCTGCTGCAATCAGAGGGGTTCTGAAAACAGAAATTTAGCAGATGAGGAGAAACTACTTAGAGGCAGGGCATATTTAGGAAACAGCAGAAGCTTGTAATAGAAATATAAAACATACAAAGCATATATTTATTTATTTAAACATAATTTTATACGGAGGCATAAACACGAGATGAAACATCTCGTTTTCGAGTGGGTCCTTCTATACAACAAAAAGAAGAACAAAAATTAAGAGCAAGACAACAGAGCAAAAATCTAAATCAAAACATTACAACAATCATTTACAGACAACCCCCGCCCCCACCCACACACACACACACACACACACCCTCAAAGGCTCACAATATTTCACCCCGCACTACACGACCCCAACTAACAAGGACAAAACAAAAGCAACAGCCAGTTGAACAAATACAATTAGTAACAAATAGACAATTATTCCTGAAGATGATCGACCAGAGCCCTTCGAAAAGTAGTGAACGATGATAAACAACAAATAGATAAAGGAAGATTATTCCAATCACATGGAGCCTTGAAACCAAAAGCGTGTTTCCCTACCTCTCTTTTCACTCTAGGAACAACAAAAAAGAGCTGGTCATTATGCCGCAGGCTGTAAAGTGAATTATAGGGAATTAAATGTATTTTAAGATAATCCAGATAATTAAATTAAAAAGTTTTAAAAATGAACTGAAACCAGTGAAACTGTTTCCTGACAGCAGGTGCGAACCACACTTCTGTATGTCCTAAATGGACAACGAAAAACAAAACAACAGAGACTATTATAAGCAACATCAATAGAGTGCAAGCAGGAGGATGAAGTGTTCTGATAATGTCAGCACAGTCCAGAATAGGCAGAAGCAGCTGTGTGGCAATTCTTTTCCAAACCAGAAAGTTAAAACAATTAACAGATTGATAGAGGATTTTAAGGCGAGAATTTAAATTTTTTTGTAGTTGATTGTATGTGTTTTAAAGGATAAATGAGGTTCTAGCCAAACACCAAGATATTTTATGGTCTCTGTGGTCTCCAGAGGAGAGGAGTCGAGAAAACAAAGCTTCAGGTTTGGGTTTTTTTCACCAATATCTAGGGCTTTCTTAAGAAACAGTACGGAATATGATTTTGACTTATTAAGGAGAAGTTTATTAGCCAACAGCCACTGCTGACTAGAATTTAAGTCTTTTTGTAGCGAAAAATGTATCTCAGTGAGAGTTGGCTTACTACAATAAATAACTGTGTCATCAGCATAAAGATGAATATTACAGTCTGTGCAGCACATGGGCATATCATTAACATAAATAGAAAACAATAAAGGTCCCAAGGAAGAACCTTGAGGGATGCCTTTAGATATTCCAGTAAATATGGACTGACAGCCCCTGTACAACACACACACTGGCGACGATGATGTAGGTAAGAGTTAAACCCAAGTAAGGATGATCTTGAAAGGCCAATAGCATGCAATTTATCCAATAAAAGATAATGGTCAACTAAATCAAATGCTTTGGAGAGATCTAAGAAAATGGCACCACTGCACAAATTATTATCAAAGCTCACAAATTATTATCAAAGCTAGAGAATACATCATTGGTAAATTTCAAGAGAGCAGTGGTAGTAGAGAAATATTTTCTGAAGCCAGACTGCCACTGAGTGAATACATTATTGTCGGAGAAATAGTCATAAAGTTGATTGAAGATTAATTTCTCAAAGACTTTAACCACACAGTTGATTATTGACATAGGCCTGTAGTTATTCAGAATTTTTGAGTCACCGCCTTTATTCAAAGGAATTACTTTAGTACATTTCCAGGCGAGGGGCACTTCACAGGCGACAAACGACATATTAAAAAGCACAGTCAATGGGGGTGAGAGGACATGAGATGCAAGTTTAAATATCAAGTACTGCCAAATGAGAACATGCCAAATGAGCCATTATTCAGTTTTAGCACACTAAATCCGACATGTGTAAGCGACATTAATTCAGCTTAAGAAGATATGAAAACGATCCCTTCACAAGATGCACGTTAATACCTGTCAGAACAATGGCCTTTAGCAGGATTTGTGTAATAACATATTTTGGATAAGCTACTTTCAGACATGCTGGGAACCTGCAACAGGTGGGAGATTAGCACAACACCTGGGTCTTTTAGCTATGGATAGGGGGCACAGCTGCATGCTAGCCAGAGTTCTCAGAGGCATGATAAGAGCTGATCAGTTCACCAGGTTGGTGATATTCATTCACCTGCTGCAGCCTCCTTTTATTCTGATGACAGGGTCTGAAATGCTGCCTCAAATAGCCATCCAGATGTTGATAAATTCAGTCTCACATAATTTTGTTTTTCAGAAATGATTAAACATCCCTTCAACGTCAGCAGCCTAAAGGGAGTTAAAGATGTTTCACAACATATTTCTCTTCCTTTTATGAGTCTTCTTTTTGTTGTGCTGGAGGTCCATCATGACGTATTGGCATCATCACTTGCTAACAGCTTCTATTTTTTTAAGGACTTATTTTTAATCCTTCCCTAATTGCCACCACTTGCTGCCAAACAGCATCACTTATGAAGTCTTGAATCCATTTGTGGTAAACTGTGAGCAACATTTCTTTGTCCTCTTCTCCCTCTTAGCCTCACAACAAAAGCTAAAGCGCTATCAATTTATCAAGGACTGGGCAAGCCACGAGCGCACTCACAAATGCACGTGCACACACACACACACACACACACACACAGAGAGAGAGAGAGAGAGAGAGAGAGAGAGAGAGAGAGAGAGAGAGAGAGAGAGAGAGAGAGAGAGAGAGAGAGAGAGAGAGAGAGAGAGAGAGAGAGAGAGAGAGAGAGAGAGAGAGAGAGAGAGAGAGAGAGAGAGAGAGAGAGAGAGAGAGAGAGAGAGAGAGAGAGAGAGAGAGAGAGAGAGAGAGAGAGAGAGAGAGAGAGAGAGAGAGAGAGAGAGAGAGAGAGAGAGAGAGAGAGAGAGAGAGAGAGAGAGAGAGAGAGAGAGAGAGAGAGAGAGAAGCATTAAGGATACTCACTGGGAGTCCGTGGCTCACAGCTATCCATTAATCAGGCACTTTGCTTACTGTTATTCTCGTGTGCGCGCGCGCGCGTGTGTATGTGTGTGTGTGTGTGTGTGTGTGTGTGTGTGTGTGTGTGTGTGTGTGTGTGTGTGTGTGTGTGTGTTACTGCTTACTAATATTCTAATGGAAAATGTCCTACCTATCCATCCAGCCAATACAGTCTTGAAGTCTTGGTCCAATACACCTTTTAAATGAAAATAGAGAAAATAAATTAGGCTTAAGCCATCAAAGCTGGAACTTTTTGACCCAAAAATATATATATAAAAAAAAAACTTAAGTAAAATTTAGTCTGTTGCCTCATTCTCCAGCATTATATAAGTGGGAAAAAAAGATTTTTGGAACCAGTCCAGTCATTCTCCTAAACAGGCAGTAATCCGTTTGCTTTAACTTAGCATAAACAATGTAAGTGAATGGCAACATTTAGCATTTCAATCTTTTAAATTAATAAGTCACCTACCTCCATAAGCACATATGTGTAGCTGCTAGGCACAGCATAGGAACAGCATAGTATGCTGCACTAAAGATGAGAGTACATGACAGATGAATTGGGTGTCTTTTGGGGCTGCTGCATTGTATTCTTGCACCTTGCAGCGGCGGCTTACAGCCGTACAACGTTGTGATGTAGTATTACTTTGATTTTCAGTCAATATGACTGTTGATGTCACAAACAAAAATTAGAATAATTGTTCAGTTATTTTCATGACTGTTTTTATATGAGATGCTAGCTGTTACCATTCACTTACACTGTTAATGCTAAGCTAAAGCTAACAGAATATTGCCAGATTAGAATGACCGGGCTGGTTACAAATACCTTTACCTGGGGATTATTACAACTTAGGGGTGGAAAATCCTTTTAAGTGAAACGACTTTAGCTTTTTTGTCTTTAGATGCATTAAGTAGAAACTTTAAGAAGCATCTCTGGTAGTGTTTGCAAAATGCCGTTGAAGTGTCAGTTTGGCATGTTTCTAGGCATTTGCCTTCTCTTCTCCCAGAACATCTCAGTTTCCTGCCATCTTCTTTTCTTTTTCTCTGAGACTTGCATGTGAATCTCTCTACCTGTGACAAAGTGTCAGCTGAGTGTTTTCCATTTAAGGCCACATTGTTATGCTCAAGCAAGCTGGAGGCTGTCACTCAAGCGACGAGAAATAACACATAGGGGGAGTGACACAAACCCCCTGTGGAGTTAAACACAAAATGACGTCCATCCAAACGTCGCTGTATATTACACTGAGTGATAAGTGGCTTGTGAGCAGTGAAGAGTGGCAGCTCACTTCACTGAATCCTTTTTTTTCTCCATTATTGCTCAATTTATTTATTTATCTCATTTGGCTTGAAGGAAGTAGAGTAATTTATTATATTTACACACTTTAGGTGCCATGCCGTGAGCTTATTATTGTTTATTTAAAAGAGTTCAATCAAGCTAAAATATGCAAAATATTATTTGTCTGGTAATTCTTGTAGAAGAGTAGATTTTTTAAAACAAACTGATGTTTAATATGAAGAGACTTGCAGGGTTTTTGCAGTTTGGGGGATAACAGAGACTTAAATCCACCATTGACTTGTTCTTGAGCCGAATGTACTTACCCCTGGGTGCAGTTGGAATGGCAGGGATGGCATTCATTGTTTATTTCTGCATACTTGAAGATGAAGCTGTTGGCACCTTGCAAGCCATTGGGACACTTTTCCACACAATTTGGACCGTCCTTGAAATGCAGGCATTTCACACAATGTTCTGGGCCCTGTGGGAAAACAGATATTCCCAAATCTCAGACCTCAAAAAATAAAAACAAGCTTGTTTTTGAGAAAAATCTTGAATAAAAAACAGAAAGTTAATTTTGCAGCTCAATTTTTGCAGTAACTACTGGAAATGCGTATTGTTTTCAGATCTGTACTTTATGATGCATAAACTTTTAATTTTGGTACAAGTTTATAAGAACTCAAATACAAACAAATTGTGAGTTGTTAAATATTTTTCAGACCAAAAACACAACTGTTGTTTAGTCTGAAAAAGGAAAGCAGGAGGTAGAACTGAGTAGACATTGAAAGTAAATAAGAAGTCCTGAACACTAATAAGGGATGGGTGGGCATGGATGGAGGGGTGAGTAGAGACAGTACATATATATATATATATATATATATATAAAACAAGGGAAAAGAGAGAACAAAATAAAGGGAGAAAACAGACGAGATGTATCAAGTGACGCGAGCACAGCAGGCATATAATAACAATCGCTCACAGCACACACAATGGCCATAACAATACGACTAGAACAGGATTTACAGAGCTAATATAGGCGAGGGAGGGGGATGGAAGGAAGAGGTGACAAGTTCTCCCAGAGACCGCTTAACAAGAGCAGGCCTAGAGCGAATCTCTAATAAACAACACAGTCTGGAACCCAATTAACATCCAGTTACAAATGCACAGTAATTAACAGAACAACATGCATTTTCACATACAATAGTGTTGGTATAAACGATGTTTTTGAGGGAAAAAAACACTTCTCTTATCCTGTATGAATAATCAGTTTTCTTTGGTGAGTGCAAAGAGCTGAACAAATGACTTTGAAGCATTTTCTACAGGCATGCATGTTTGAATTTGAACGTGCTTTTTAAAATGGGGATGTGAGCAGGAACTCAGTCTGGTATAATCATGCAAATGAAAAGTTTGGATTATTTAGCGTGCATGTGTGAGTGTGTGTGTGTGTGTGTGTGTGTGTGTGTGTGTGTATTATTCCTATCGCATCAGGAAAGAAAAATAACAAAGAAATTAAACATAATTTGGTCCAGCAGGGTGTTAGGGCGACTAGAGCTCACTGCTGGAGAGTTAAATTGGTCTTCCTGTGTCCTCAACAAAAAAAGGTGTGTTCCATCTACTTTATTATTTTCATTCTAGGAATAAAAGTGTCAGAAAACTGTTAGCGGAGTCCGGTGATATTTATACCTTTCAACAGGAAAATGATCACACCCAAAAAAAGAAATATTCAAAAAAAATAATAATTCTCATTTTGTCCACTTTTGTCACATAGGTGGTTATAAATCTGACAATATGAGAAGTGAAAAAGTCCTATTAGATGTGATTAAAAACACCCTCAAAACACTGAATGCAATACATTTTACTAAACATTTGATGTCAAGGCTCCAGGAATTGTTGCTGCAGTTTCACATTGTGACTAATGTCTGTACAGAAGCAGTTCCTATTCAATAAAAGGCATTTATAAAAAAAGATGGCGGTCTTTCTCTTAATCTTTGTCCTGACAGATTTGTGGCTTCAACAAATGCATTCAAGAAATAATTTTTTAGAAATCATTAAAGCTCCTGTAACTGACTTTAGTTGGAAGGATATTTGACTGTCTTGTTTTGATTCCTCGGTAAAGAACTTTAATGGTAAACTATGTCATACTCGATTCACTGTTAAACCAACAAAAACAACCTAAAGTGTTCACATGCATTCAACTGGGCAAATGTCAAGTTTAATGATGGTAACAACTTCAGATCTTTTACTGCTGCCTTGTCAGATCATAACAAGGCATGCATTCATGCTTATTGTTGCATCTCTATCTTCTAGCGCATTTAGCCAATCCAGTCAAGGCATGTAGCCTGTAAAGTAATTGCACTGAGCTGTGTGGCTTCAAGATGCTTGCTGTAATTCGGTCGTGTGTCTGCACCCTCACAGTCAACATTTACACAAGGTCCAACAGGTTGCTCTGAGTCATATAGATTCTAAACAGCTCTATGAACAATGCGTATGAGATGTAATGGATGTGAAATAATGATAAATGTGGATTTAACAACGTCAAGATGTTGTCACAACAAATGCAAATGGAACAAATCTAGAAAGAACTGTCTCCATGATAATGGCCCGTGTCAAAGGGGAAGTGTATCTCTTTTGAAATGAGGATAGTTGGAGGAATTGCAGGTTGTTACATGCCCCTCTGGAGTCGAAGAGCTTCTGAGAGGGATGTCCAATATTTAGACTCTTCTGTGATGTTACAATGACTGAGTTAGCTAATCGTATGGGTTTGTAGTGTCACCGGGTTAGCTGTACATCAACCAAAAATGTTTTCACAAATGCTGTAACTGGACTCAGCTGTCTTCTACAAAACTTAAATTACAAACACAGGGGTCACAAACTAAGAGAGGAAGCTATATTACAGAAATGTTCAGCTCTGGTTAAATTAAGGGCATCAAAATTGAGGGAAAAATAAAAAGAAACTGGTTCCTTACAAAAACATACCCAAGCTCAAATCTAAAAAAGGCTAAATTAAAGGCCTGAAAATAAAGACCTTTAACTAAAAGGGCTCTGACCTTTATTTATTTATTTATTTATTTATTTATTTATTTATTTATTTATTCCCCGTGTCCTGTCTGGCTGTGAAGCAAACAGAATTAACGTCTGAATGCTGGTGACAAGCCTTACAGATTTACTCTCAGGTGGAGCATCAAAGCTTCTGCTTTTAATGTCACACCTGATACTTAAAACTTTATTGTTTTTGTTTTTTGAATGCTGTTAATTCCGACCAGACACGGAGACAGAGGTGAAAGAGAAAGGAAGAGACAAAAGGTGGGGATGGGGTCCACCATAAAAAAAACAATGATGAACAAGAGTCTGCTTCTAGACCTGCAGAAAAGGGACACACAACAATACAACAGGAGTAAACTATCACAGCATCAACTTGATGAAGAAATATAAAATCAACATTGTTTTACTGAACAATCACAAGATAGTAAATCACAGTGCATTAAGTACCAACCACAGCCTTAGGACGTGTTGAAAATGCCCAAGTCCATACTTATGAGAGAACCAGGTGAGCACCTGTGTGTGTATCCGCACTTATATGTAAGGTTTATCTATAGGAGCGTCCAATAGAGAGTGTGAGGGGCCACAGATCTGCCCCCAAAGATGCATAGGAGACGGAGGGAGCTCCAAGTCCCAGAGATTCAGGAGCTGCCCCAGAGCACAGAAACCCCAGGGAGACGGACACCAGAAAAGCCCCTGCCCCCCTCGAGAGGCGCAGAGGATCGCCCCAGGGGGCCACAACCAGCAGACATCAGAGTCTTGGGGGATATCAGCGGCAAGCCCACAGGCCCGCCTGCAGCCTCCCACCCCCAAGCTGGCCAAACCCGGAACCCAGCGACCAGGGACCCAGGGGTGACCAGCCCCGCCGGGGACCCAACAGAGTCCAGGGACTGAGATCCCACCAGGCAGCCACTGAGATCGATCAGGCAGACGCCAAAAATCTTTAACCCCCTGACCCAGGAGCCATGAACACTCAGGCAGACCAAGGCACCACACTCCACACCAGGTGTGGCAGGGGGAGGGGAGGCAAAAATGTATAGCATCAAAAGAAGTCCCAGGAGAGGGGAGGAGTCAAAGAACACCTGACATATACAGTCATACACAAACACAGTCACACACTCCCTCCCTCATGCTCACACATACACATACAACCAAAGACTTACAAAAATGCACGCCAGACACCCACTCACGCTCCACACACACACCCTATTTACTCTGGTCCCAGTACTGCTGCACATGGGGTACAACCTGTTACCAGAGTTTGACCCTTTCTGCTTGGGTGCTGATGAGCAGGCTCCCCGCCCAACGCCGAGCAAAGCGGCCCACCGCCCCAGACCTCAGCCAAACGGCCAGATCCCCGTCCTAGCCTCCAGCCCCGGGAAGCCAAGCGGCAACAGAGTTGTGCCAAGACCCCTAGTCTTTCTCCGCCTGCTCCAATATAGTGTTGGTGCGTGTTGATGAGGTATATTCCATGGCTGTGGTGAGACTAACTCAAAGTGACTCTTTTCTAAAATGAGTAAACAACCATAAACCATAACAACAAAAATAAAGAGCTCACCTTAATAGAGCTAACGGGTAGTATTACTTGAACCCAAACAACCAAAAGACAAACTCTCTTTCTGAAAAAAGGTACAAACAAAAGGGCCTCACAGTAGTATTCCAACTTAAAGTGCTCAAGCGCTCAAATGTCAAGAGCTAATGAATCAATGAAGGCTGCTAGTTTAACTAAGTCTCATAAAACGCCAAAAAGGCTAAACAAAAGCAGCTAAGTTTAATAAAGTCTCCAAATAATCAAAAGGAGACTATTCCAACACCTGAGCTCTCAACAAACTCCTCTACTTCACTTCTTTACTCTCTCTACTCACACTTTCTACCCCCTTCTGACTCTACAGCCTCCCGGAATGAGAGTTCAGCAGCTCCTTAAAGGGACAATATGGAAGTTTGACAGCCAAAAACATGTATAGAAATAATAAATTTCTTCTTCATACATTCTCCTGCAATGCCCTGGTCCTGTAGAATGAGCCCTGGCATTTTTACTGTGATCGCCAGTTTTTCTGTAAAATCACAGAAAAAGAGAGCTGCTCGGGTCGAGCAGGCTGCTTCATGCGTGTTCACGCTCAGGCATAGCCCGTAGCATTTGCTATCAGTAGCTTTAGCAGCAGAGAGAGAGGCAGTGCCACTTTGTCGCTGTTCCTAACGCCTAGTGACAAAGCTAGCTACATTTCTGAGGACCCTTAGCTACTTTCTGCAGAACTTTCTTCTAGATATTTCCTGCAAATTAGCAACAAAATAGCCATTTTCGTTCCGAACCGTTCTTTAAACGTTGTTTCAGCGGTCATCAAGGATATAAATGTTACAGATACAAAGGATGTCACTGGCGCTTTAGCTCACCTAGTAAGACATTGGACTCTTGTGCAGAAGACCTGGGTTTGATTCTGGATG